TGATTGTAAAATAAAGGTAAGTTACAAATGTCTTCTTTATCAAATTTCTGATGCTCAATAAACAATGTAAATGCATTTAAAGTGCATTACAACATTTTCTCAACATAATGCTTTCCACACGTGACTAATTTATGTACATCAATACCCTGTGTTAAAATAGTTATCCAACAACCATCACTTGAAATAATTCTTCTTATCCATGTAAGTTTTAACGCATTCATAAAAGCATTTATATTTACCATTCTTAAACCCCCTTCCATGTAATCTTTAACTAACACATTTTTATTAATTTTTGAAGTTCCATTCCAAATAAAAGCATATAGGTAGATTTAAGTTCCTTTTTGAAATAAATCGTTTTAATTTTGGAGCGTATTTATTACCCATTTTTTGCCTCTTAATTTTAATTCAATTCTCACAGCTAGCTAGTTTCACGGAGTTCACCTATGTCCGGTTGAAGCCATAGTGTCATATCTTGAAATTAAACCCCTGTCAATTTATTTGTTTTGCCATGCAAACAGTCATTCTGTTATCAAGTTTTAATTTTCATCCGTTTTGAGAAAATGTTTAAACTATCTGGGTTTCCCGTCAAAAACGATACTTTCTCACAGCTTTCGTATCGGGGCCTCATCATATTTAGATTCAATAGGCATCCCTCATGACGTCATAATGGAAAAAGGAAGGTGGACGTCTAATTCCTATGCAAAATATATTCGCAAATAAATTTTACAATTTTTGTTATTATTCATGTACTTTCAGTGATATGGATCGTAGGTTCCTCCATACCATATTGGGTTAAAAGGAGAGCAATTATGATATCTTCGATAAACCTCGGGTTGGAAAAAAAAGAAATGCACAGTGAAGTGGCGCACCAAAGGCGGCATGACATGGGATGAAGTCTTCCCAAATTAGCTGGATGCTAGCTAAATCCAGATACCCACCAGACATGATAGTGGTGCACTTCGGCGGCAACTCTTTAATAAAGGTAAAAAAGGGTGTCTTAGCAAATAACATTAAAAATGACCTTCTCCAGATCTCGTTACTAGCAGGCCCGACAACCACGGAAGTATGGTCGAGCATTTTGCCAAGGCTCAATTGGCATTCTGATCGCCAGTTATCTGTGGTTGAAAAGGCAATAAAATGCGTGAACCGGTTGTCACCGTTCGACGAAGTAGTTTATTCGAACCATTTTGACTATCACAAAACTGTGGTCTGCTAAAACTTGTCGTCTGCGAATACTTGAAGCTTTTTCGAACCATTTTGATTATTGCCCAACTGTAGTCTGATATTCGAACCATTTTGATAATACCAAACTATCGTCTGCTAATACTGACGAAGCTTATTCGAACCATTTTGATTACAACGAAACTGTGGTCGGCAAACACTAGACGAAGTTTGTTCGATTACCAAACTGTCGTCTGCTACTAAGTTATGAAGTTGGTTAGTACCAATCTACTTATCACCAACCTGTCAGCTGCCATTACTTTACCAAATAATAGAATAAATAAATACAGATCCCTAAAGAAAGCGCAACACGGCAAAATTGAAAATGTTGCAGGCTCGGTTTGATTGAGCCTGTTCATGGACGGTACTGGAAAGTGCAAGTTACCGTCCACGCCCCCCCCCCCAGCACCGGCTTAAGCATAATTCAACATTTAAACATGAAATAGTAAAATTTTGAATTTAGAAACAGTTTGTTGAATCATTCGATTCATTATCAAAATGTCGTCTGCCATTACCTGGTCGAGGCTATCGCTCCTTTACAAATTAATGTATCATTAATTTGTTGTATATATTTATCCGAAGGATTCGGCAACATTATAAAAAGATGGTTTAGTTGTGAGATAAGTATTGTTATTTTACCAATTGGAGTCAAAGCTCTTCTATTCCATTGTTTAACCAGTTTTTCTATATTGGATATTTTTTCTTTAAAGTTAAGATCTATCATTTTTTTAAGATCCACATGGAATGTTATACCAAGCATTTTGAAACTAGTTCCGGGAACTAATCAAACTTAGAGGAAAACGAATCAAATACTTTGATTTTGATATTTGTAGTAATTCGTAGCATTGAAAATTATAATTGATATATGATGATCAGTAGTATATCGATTTAACTTAAGTTTTAAATATGATTAGGCCCTTCTCATTAAAGGAAAGGTGGCGTTCAATGAACGCAACCCCAACACGACTCAGCGACAAGAACCAGTGGCAAGGAGTCCAGGAACACACATTTATATACGACACATTTTCCGAGCCACTGTTGTGACACATGACCATTTTAAATAAATAACCTTTCCTATTTATATTGACTACTGCGTTCGTAACGCAGTGGATTATACAAAGAAGCAACACGGGATATTGATACTTTTATCAACATTATCTCTTGATGTAGATGTCAGTAATAATAAATTTACACATTAAACTTAACTAAACCAGTATCTATCGTTTACTGGAATTTCATTCCATTTTTTGTCTTCATTTTACCATCTGAAGGCGAGTGGCTTTAAAATTTCTTTTATTTTAACATATAACTTGTAAATATACTCCTATTATTATATTACTCTTTAATAAATTAAAAATCTGATTGTATTTTAAGCTGTATATTACGAATAAACACATTAGCATTGTTCTTGTAAAACTAATTTAAAAAAAAGGTTTATTTCCATCTCATTGACTTAATTCAACTAAGATCAGTGACAATTATTTCTTAATTCTTAATACCACTGTGTTGAATCGTTATTTCATTGTGTTAAATCATTATGTGGCGGATCGTTATTGTGGCGAATCATTACTTATTCAATTTTTAAAATGGCACGTGGCCGATCTTTTAAAAATGAAAGGTCTTACCCAGTTTTAAATATTGGCTTAATTTAGCTCATTGTCGGTCACAGCTTAATGACCACTCATGCAATCCAATAGTTACACTCTATGCCTGAGCGGCCGACTTTATTTTGTTAGAGAGCCTCACCATAATAAAGGATTTGTATAATAATAAATTATTTGATAAACATTAACAAATTGTTCCAAGTGATTTTCTAATGAAGTGGAATTTAAATATTTTGATTTCGATTTTTACCTTCTTTAGAATCGTTTGACATGTTTGGTTCTCTGACCCTGAAGTACTAATACTAACACAGAGGTTTTTCATCACTTAAAAAATAGTTCGCCATACCATCTGACATTTTGCTTCTTTAGAACCATACTGTGCTGTGTATGATTTTATGACTTTAAAATCGACGAATTCTCTATCCTCCCTTTCTTTTATGAAAACTGAAACATCAAATTCTTTCACCTTTGACCCGTTGACCGGGTCCATGTGCATGACAGATAGTCTCATGATGAACATTTGTTACTAAAAACTCAATTCATGTTATTTGAAAAGTCCTCCATGTACAAAGAAGTTATGGCAGGACAAGTTTGGATGCACGCACGCTCACGCAAACACTTTCATCCATTTTGACAACTATATCGAGCTCAACGCAAGCGGGATTGAAAAAATCCTTTGACCACTAAGCATAATACTTCAAAGCATAAGTAAGATACAGCGCCATTAGACAAATGTTTTATTTGACCTTCGAAGAGACCACTCAACTCAACGTGAGTACATTTGTGCTAAGTTATATTAAAATCCATCCATGTATGAAATAAATGTTTTATTTTCTTATTTGACCTTTGACACCTAAGTGTGGCCTTGGCCTTCACCACAGACACATAAATTTTTTGTGCAACACTCCACCTCACTATGGAGAACATTTGTCCTGAGTTAAAAAAATTAAACCATCCATGCTTGTGTAAGTTACGCTCCGGACACGGATTTTGCGTTGAATCCTTAGTGTGAAATTGACCTTTGAGTGGCGGACTCCGGTTTTTGTGCGACACATCAACCCATCATAGTGAACATTTGAAACAAATTATTTTGTAATCCTTTAAAGAATGAGCAAGATATAGACCGGACGCACGGACGCATATAAACCGAACTAAATGCCAAAAGTGGCGACTAAGTCGAGCTCATCGCAAGCGGGCTCGACAAAAAAAAACTGCCACACTCTTTTCCTAGATTAAACATTAATGATAATTTTCCATGAATGTTTATAGATACAGTGGTTATTGATTATTCAAACGACGTTTAAAGTATAAAATTTTATCATGACAAATTGTAAAGTTATTTTAATTCTAACTATTAAGTTTTTAATTCTCATAAAATCACCTTAAGAAATGTAAAGCATGAAGGTTACTGAAAATGCGTAGCATTTTATTGATAAAATGTCTATCTGATTTTGATTTAAGATCATTTCATTTGATTAGCAAGTTTAATATCTAAATATATTCACTCGGCATTTTATCAAAAGAAATAAACCCGAGATTTCCAGAAGTCGAAATGTCACCGGCAGTCTTTCATACTTCACCTGTATTTACTACTCCCGTTGTAGAGAGAGTTTACTCGTTGTCGAGAGAGTTCGCTCGTTGTAGACAGAGGTCACTCGTTGTAGAGAGAGGTCACTCGTTGTAGAGAGAGGTCACTCGTTGTAGAGAGAGTCCACTCGTTGTAGAGAGAGAGGCCACTCGTTGTAGAGAGAGGCCACTCGTTGTAGAGAGAGGCTACTTGTTGTAGAGAGAGGCCACTCGTTGTAGAGAGAGGCCACTTGTTGTAGAGAGAGGCCACTCGTTGGAGAGAGAGGTCACTCGTTGTAGTGAGAGGCCACTCGTTGTGAAGAGAGGGCACTCGTTGTAGAGAGAGGCCACTCGTTGTAGAGAGAGGCCACTTGTTGTAGAGAGAGGCCACTTGTTGTAGAGAGAGGGCACTCGTTGTAGAGAGAGGTCACTCGTTGTAGAGAGAGGTTACTCGTTGTAGAGAGAGGTCACTCGTTGTAGACAGAGGCCACTCGTTGTAGAGAGAGGTCACTCGTTGTAGACAGAGGTCACTCGTTGTAGAGAGAGGTCACTCGTTGTAGAGAGAGGTCACTCGTTGTAGAGAGAGTCATTTGTTCACTCGTTGTTGAGAGAGTTCACTCGTTGTAAAGAGAGGCCACTCGTTGTAGAGAGAGGCAACTCTTAACTGGCGTCTTAGAAATTAATAAAATTATCTTGCATACAAAACCAATCAATAATTATTTATTCGGACTCTTTGGTTACAAAGAAATATTGTCCCTTCTGCTTTAAAATCACAGATTTCATAAACTTAAGTAATTGGTTTTACACAATATGGATTGAACCGTTGACATATTTAGAAAAACTAATTGTCTTGTATTTTTGGATAAATTGAATTACTATACTATTACGCTATAGTTCTTATCGTTGGTACATTTTCAATTAAAGAATTAATGTCTTTTTTATTGAGCAAGAAATAAAAACGATCACATTTTAAATAATTTCATTCACTTATGACATACTTTTTACATTTTTTTTAGACATAAGTAATGGATTTTTTTATATATACATGTACATTATTTGTTTTTGCAGTTGACCAATTTTATGAATCTGAAGTAAAACCATCTGTTTTAATAGTACATGTAACAAACATTTTTCAGGTTCTTTCTTTGGCCAAACACAAGCAGATTGTTAAACCTCTAGGGTCATATAGGTATCTCAATCTTCGCTATTGATTTGTAACTGATCTTGTGCTTCAGAAGCCTTTGATGTGGTTTCATCTATAAGTGGAAGAAAAACTTCTATGCCATATGTTTTCTCTACTGGGCTAGTTACATAGCCACTCTCTGGTGAACTACTTGATGGACCACTTTCACCGGACGGCATTTTGATGATTAAATTCAAATTGTTGTTTCTTTGTTTAGCTGTTTCTATATGCGTATTGGACTGCTTTGTTTTTGACTGTTCAAAAGCATTATCTTGTGCGCCTTCAAACGATATGTTTCCTTGTAAACCCAGCTCGCCTCGACATAATGGTGATTGATCCGGAAATAAATGGGCATCATTTCTTTCTTCTTCTTTACAATAAACATAATTTGTAGCCACAGGTACAGTGAAACTCACACCACTATTTTCCGTTTCTTGTTTAAAACCTTTCTCCACATCAGGACTTGATGGCTTTGTGATATCTTTGACTGCTTCAGAAGTGGAAACAGAGCCTATTCCCGCAGCTTTCTTTGTAACTAATTCATCTCCGTTGCTACTATAGGTTAATGCAAACACATCATCACTTTTCTCATTAATTGTCATTTTATTTTCCGGACGTGTAAGTGCATTGTTTCCCAGTGAAGAGAACTTTCTTTCAAATTTTGGAATCTTATTTTGCAAGGAACACCAAAAGTATCTCTGCTCTCTTTCGCTTGATCCTTCAGCTGGAACTTTTAGCCTCGGAAGAACTTTCCAAAACTGAAGATCGTCAACCACGTCATTTTGTTGCCGTTTGATCATTTCAATTGTTACATCATCAATTACTTCTTGGCAATCCTCTACTCGTTCTTCATCCTTTACATGTCTTGCCCAGTTCATTATTTCTTTTGGTTTGTAATCAGCAACTTCTAAAAACAAAATATCCTTGCCTTTTCTTTCGTTTATAAAGGACTGCAGAAGGAAATTGGCCACAGAGTCATTTCTTAAAGCTTCTGAATACAAAAACAGAACCAAAGCACTTTGGGATGTCTTTTCAGAAAACATACGTAGAACATCTGAAATATATAAGCAATAAATGAAAACGTTTTTACGACGGACAATATTAGCATTGAAATATGGAAGGGGTATTCCTTATACAATGAAATTGCATAAAAAATATGAAATTACTGTATTGATATTTCATTGTGCACAATCAATATCTGATATATGTAAAATTAAGAAGTAAGGCATGCTCGAATACTTCAACATTAGTTTAACAATATGTACCAAAAGTAATATTGAAACACCTAAAACACTTTTAGAAAATTAAGTGGCTATATAAATTGTGACAGAAGCCATAAAACCTTACAAGAACTCATACAACATAAGAAACATCCTCAATTTCTGTACTCTGTACTCTGTTAATTTGAAATAACTTGGCTTCACAATTACTACACCAAATAGGCTGTACATATACGAGGGTCATCCGGAAATGAAAAAAATAATTAATTTTGTAACTAACATAAAGCCACAAAACTTGGCACGAAACTTAATTTACTCTTTGCGCGTAAATGTGCCTTCTTAAATCAGTTAGTTACAGAGATGAGCTGATCATTGAGTAATACTCACTTTGATTTCCCTCTATATCTGCATGTACAAAAACATCATAGTTTTCTTCGCTCAGTTTCTTCTTCATGTGTAATGCAATTTCCTCATCGGCATCAGCATGGTATATAAACACGTGATATGTGTAGTCCTCATCTGGTTTTAGATAAATATATACATGTACAATAATTAATGCTTCAACATGAATATAGGAGCTCACGTAAGCTGCCATGTTATATAGAATACTATTTAGGTATCACCCCGTCACGGATTTAGACCCAACTCGTTGTAGTCAAGAAAAATAGTTCTTAAATTTTGAAGTGGCCTTTAGTTTAATCGGTCATAATTAAAGTGCATTTATTGCATCTGTGTAGTTTTCGTGTGTTATATGATGACATTAAAAGGTCTTGTGTTTTTTTGGTTTTTTTGGGTTTTTTTGTGGTTTTTTTTTCATTCTTCAGGACCTCATTTATTGAAGGATTCAAGATGTGTAACCCGCCAACAGTCAGGTGTTTTTAAAGTTGTTTTTGTTTGTTTCTTTGGGTTTAACGTCACACCGACAAAAAATGGGTCATAAAGCTGGAGGAAGACCTCAGATACTCTTCCGTGCATTATTTCAGACACAAATGGGCACTCGAGTACAACAACCAACGTTCCGTAAGCTAGTTGGATAGCTTCCTCACATAAAAGAATTCAAGGTCCCTGTCGGAAACCACAGCGGTGAGGGGCAAGTGGTTTGAAGTCAATGACCTTAACCATTCGGCCACGGACGCCCTTTTTAAATTTTTAAACTTAAAAAGTGTTTAAACAGAATGAATCTTTCTGGAAAAAAAGTAGTTGGCCAACATATTATATTTCGGGCCTCATTTGACTTAGAAAGTGTTGATGTTAAAAGTTGAAGACAGTCAAGGAATCAAGGAAAGTGGAAGCTAGAATCAAGCCTCAAATGTGACTGATTTACTATAGATCAAAGAGTACGACAATTCATTGTTATAAAGCTTTAGCTAGTCTTTTTAGCATTTATCTGGCAACTCTAATAAGTGTTTATATCATACAAAAACGAATGTGAAATTATTTTAACACACTGCTAAACACATTATATTAATGAAAATAAATTTATAATACGATAATATTTAATTTTACTTGTGTAATATCAAAATACGTTAAAGTTAGTAATATTGCATTGAAAGAAGCGCCATCATGTGATTAGATGTTATAAAACAGTCGTACAATTTCAAACATATTATTTTTATAGAGATAGCATAAAATCATCACCACACCCTCCCTCAACATTACAGGTATGTATTTTCGACAAAGAAATTTTTCTATGGACATTTTCTTTTTGAGATTAACAATTGTTCATTGTTTTATGTATAAATAATTATTACATTATCAATTATTACACTTACTACTGATTTGTTTCGGACCAAGGGAGGCCACTCTACTGCTCAAGAAAAGGCGAATCTGGGGTCCGTACTTGCATCGCAGGAATATAATTGAAATAATTATAACCAATATGAGCACAACACTGCCACCAATAGTAAGACCAATTTTAGTCCAGGGCGTGGTTTGCAAATCTGGTTTCTCTGAAAGCAAGACGATATTGAGTTGAGTGCGTGATGCCATATTCTACTTTAAAACAAATGTTAGCATGACAAAGTTCATATTTCTGCGGGTATTTGTAAATCTTCCTTTGAGAAAAACAATACGGGCTCCATATTTGCTAAATTGTACAAATAAATAATGTTTCAAGTTGTATAAAGCTATATTATGATCCCTGATAATTGTTGTTAACGTATTTATATGGATCTTGTTAAAAAGCATTTAAAAATACGACAATTGCCAGAATGACTTTTGTAAACATAATTTCACGGTTCAGAACTGTTCACTTAATAGGGGAGAAGATAGCTCAGTCGGTAGAGCCGCGGAACGGTATTCCGAGGGTCCCGGGTTCGAGTCTCGGTCAGGCTGCACATTTTCCTCACCCTGTGACAAAAACATGAATTATACCTCTCTTGTGAATTTTAACCATGCGTGTCACCATTCTGCCAGATGTTTGAGCTGTAAATAAGCGACACACGAATGTATGTTTAAGATCAACCTCATTCACAGACGTAATTGTAAAGGTTACCTGCTTCGTCTCATTATCCTTTCTGTAAAAGATAGGAGATGTTAAAGTATTATGATATACGTATCTATTTCAGTTCTTAACAAAATTGTGGACAGTGATGTGAATATTTTGGCTGGAGGTTACCGTTAATTGCTTCAAGTTGCTACTGCAACTCTGCTGGAAACAATGTAAAACAGGTCAGGTTAAACATCTTTATGAGACATGTCATTATTTAAAGTAAAAATTAACGTATTTTAAGAAATAAACAAACTGTTTTATTAAACAATATTTGTACGAATCAACTAGTACTCCCATTCGTTGGATTGCTGGAAATGGTATTACACATGTGAGCGTCCAGCGCCCTATATACTGACTGATCTTTACTCCACCTGATGGAATCCTATAAATCCTTATTTAAAAAATGATGTGACATATTTTAAGAAACATTACTTTCTCTGACAGAATCCTATAGGTCCTTATTTAAAAAATGATATGACGTATTTTAAGAAACATTTATTTCTCTGACAGAATCCTATAAATCCTTATTTAAAAAATGATGAGACGCATTTTAAGTAACATTTATTTCTCTAACAGAATCCTATAGGTCCTGATTTATATAATGATATGACGTCGCATTTTAAGTAACATTTATTTCTCTAACAGAATCCTATAAATCCTTATTTAAATAATGATGAGACGCATTTTAAGTAACATTTATTTCTCTAACAGAATCCTATAGGTCCTGATTTATATAATGATATGACGTCGCATTTTAAGTAACATTTATTTCTCTAACAGAATCCTATAAATCCTTATTTAAATAATGATGTGACGCATTTTAAGTAACATTTATTTCTCTAACAGAATCCTATAGGTCCTGATTTATATAATGATATGACGTATTTTAAGAAACATTACTTTCTCTGACAGAATCCTATAAATCCTTATTTAAAAAATGATGTGACATATTTTAAGAAACATTACTTTCTCTGACAGAATCCTATAGGTCCTGATTTATATAATGATATGACGTATTTTAAGTAACATTTATTTCTCTAACAGAATCCTATAAATCCTTATTAAATAATGATGATGAGACGCATTTTAAGTAACATTTATTTCTCTAACAGAATCCTATAGGTCCTGATTTATATAATGATATGACGTCGCATTTTAAGTAACATTTATTTCTCTAACAGAATCCTATAAATCCTTATTTAAATAATGATGAGACGCATTTTAAGTAACATTTATTTCTCTAACAGAATCCTATAGGTCCTGATTTATATAATGATATGACGTCGCATTTTAAGTAACATTTATTTCTCTAACAGAATCCTATAGGTCCTTATTTATATAATGATATGACGTATTTTAAGAATCATTTATTTCCCTGACTGACTGTAATAGGTTCTGCTTGATATTATAATTTGGCGTATTTTAAGAAACATTTATTTCTTATTCAGTAGATTGTCACTCATACAAGGTTACCATCAGTTGTTTAACCATTTCCCCTAATCAAAATGATGAGTTTTATGATAAGTATGTGATAATGAAGTTAAAGAAAAAGAAGAAGTAGATGATGAAGAAGAAGAACAATATGATGATGATGAAGAAGTAGGAAAACGATTATATGATGAAAGTGGTCCCTGGTAACCTTATGAACGAATACATCAGATGTGGTAATATGTGCCAAATTTTATGACAACTACTAATTCTTACTTGCAATAGACATATAAAACTATCTGAGAGAAAACTACAAATATCTCGTACTTGTACTGCTGTACTGTATATCTATCACTAACGGTATTTACAAGGGTGCCATTTGCTAAAGTCCAAAATGCATATCGACCCTTAGACGTGCTACAACCAAAGTATCCTGTACAATGAAATGTTATATTTCCCCCGAATTTGTCTATAGTTTGGTTCTCCGGAAACGGTTCGGTGATTAACGGTTGTCCTGCCCGCTCTTCACAATCTACAAATAGTTACAAAAAACATTATTTATATCTATTGTTTCGTCTTAAAAATATGAGAAGACTCATTAGCAGCTCATTATAGTTGTGCAAAAAGCAAAACAAAAACAAAACTGTATCTCTAAAAAACTCCGTTGACCGCATTTGGTGCGTTACATGTCGCAACGCCGCTAAATGTCCGAAAAGCTTTAAAATACAAGATAACACTTGTTTGGTTACATTATTACATTAGTTTACATACATCACAATATTGTAATGTAAACTAATGTAATAATGTAAGCACAAGTTGTAATGTAAACTAATGTAATAATGTGAACTCATTTTAATGTACTAATAAGTTGATTTTAGACTAATTATCATAGATCTACATAAAAATAGACAACAGGCAAAGATATTGGTTTAAGATATACATGTACTTGTAAAAGAGAAACGGACTTTGACCCAAATAGATATTCAACGGTTCTTTGTCGTGGATATACATAACTTATCACTTGCAGCTCAGTAAAATGCTCTAATGAATTGACGCCCTTCCTTAGTAACAATACAGCGATAAGTTGCCTGATAGAAAAGTATTGCCGAAAAATAAAATCTCAGAACTTGTCTATTCTCTTGCAGTACAGGAGCGTTATCATCTCCGACAGGTGGCGGTGGAAATGGCTTCCAAAGATTGCCCTTCTTTTGAGACCACGTGATTTTGTCGTATCCTTCCGCACAGCATAAGACTGCAACAGTGTGACCGATACGCACCCGATCATTTGCACCAAGCTCCCTTGTAAATCTCAGATCGGCTGTAAAATGTGTATTGAGAATAAAGATTTGAAAATGAAATATCACATTGTGTAGGGTAATAAAAACCACGCACAGACTAAATGAAAAGTCAGCACAGTATACAAAGTCTCAGATAAATGATCATCTCGTTTCACAAAATACACATGAAATACAGTTAATGAATCATGATGATGTAAAGTATTATTAGCGACTTTACGATATCCAGTTTTCTCAGTCAAAAGTTATTCATATAAGACGTATAATCAAAACTTAAAAATTATAGTTTAAGCATGAATGCACGAACGAACAAATAAGCGAGCGAGTGAACGAGCGAACGGACGAACGTACAGTAAACTAAAGAACGAACAAACGAACGATTGGTCGACCAATCGAATGAATGATGTATATATCGAACAATCAAGCGAGCGAATGAATAAATGAATAAATTAATATAACGACAATCATGCAGTGGTGCATTGTGCGTACTTTCAAATACAAACAAAATGAAATATTTAGTCAAGTGAAAAAGATTTGTTCAATTGATAAGTCGAGATACATTCATCTTTTACATACATGTGCAGTATCAAAAGAAACAGATCGATACATGTACCTAACATAAATTGACATTAATAAACTTTCTTTTTAAACACTTTCATGTACTTATATACTGAATTTAATACAATTACGACACACTTCATCAAATCCATGAATAATGCTAGAAAACAAGATATGTATATTTTTTGTTGTTTTCATTGTCACACAGACGCTTATTTTGGTCTTATTAGAACACTGAAAATGTCAGAATTTAAAAATAAAGGATACATTTGTAATGCAATCACTCAACTTATTATCAAACATTCTAATACTAATAGTAAAATAAGACGATCATTTTGTAAACGTTATTTGTTAAGTATTAAGTCAATTCTAATTTTTTCGTGTTTATGTTTTTCATTTTACATATATAACAGTATATACATGATGCATAAAACAACTTAATTAACACATATAGTAATGGTCACATGATGCTAAAACATTTTGAAATAAGTGTCGTGTCACTTCCGCAAATGTCACAATTGTAAGTCTGAGTCATGCATGTACGTTTATCACGTCCTTGTTTTGTACTTTTCGAATCGTAAATCAAAATAATGACAATGATATAAGGGATTCATGGCCAAGTAGTTAATGTCGGTACAGTTGAAACACTTTCTCCTTACATGTATAGGTTCGAAACTCGCCAAGTAACTTTCGATCCTTCCTTGTGATAAAGTATCTAGCAAGTGTACAGTGCGAAGGTCGAGTTGTTACAGTGTGAAGGTCGAGTTGTTATAGTGTGAAGGTCGAGTTGTTACAGTGTGAAGGTCGAGTTGTTACAGTGTGAAGGTCGAGTAAGGTCGAGTTGTTACAGTGTGAAGGTCGAGTTGTTACAGTGTGATGGTCGAGTTGTTACAGTGTGAAGGTCGAGTTGTTACAGTGTGAAGGTCGAGTTGTTACAGTGTGAAGGTCGAGTTGTTACTGTGTGAAGGTCGAGTTGTTACAGTGTGAAGGTCGAGTTGTTACAGTGTGAAGGTCGAGTTGTTACAGTGTGAAGGTCGAGTTGTTACAGTGTGAAGTCGAGTTGTACAGCGTGAAGTCGAGTTGTTACAGTGCGAAGGTCGAGTTGTTACAGGTGAAGGTCGAATTGTACAGTAAGGTGGCATCATCAGCTACCTCGGTCTAAGTAAGCACAGATGCCTTCCGCACTCTCCTTCCACTAAGGAGCGAAGGACCACATGAATAAAAAATTTGCGAACGGTATTGTGCATAATAACTACATAGTTATTATGACTAAACGTATCCCGATGTCTCTCGACACGATAATGACAAATACATGGTGCGATAACCGTTTACGACATCCCTCGCGCGATAATAACAAGATATTGCGAAACGCCAGAAACCCCTGGCTACTGATATAACTGGACTCATCATCACGTGCATAAACATAGTAACGCCACATACCCTTAAATACGCAATGACACAAGGTTCGATAACGACATAGACATACATCGGCTCTTAAAGGACCCATAATGGTTGCGATAGCTCTGATATTGACAACCAACTGACACCAACAGTTGAAGATCACGCACGATAGTCCTGACTGCGATAATTACACCATATTTGCGATAACGCACATACCTCGTTACGAAATTAACACATTGTTGCATAACTCACATACCCCTCGATACTCATAACGACACTATTGTGTATAACATCACAATGTCTAAATTGTACGGATAATTGACAACCATACCACTGCGGCTTATAGCGTCAGGATGCCTTTGCAGTTCAATTCGAGCAAACCCTTGCTAGTATTCCTCAGTCCGAAAGGACATTATGAGAGTCTTCAACTCATGCAGAGTAATTTATGTGCAACATGACAAGCGCACGTCACACCACGCCAGTCATGCAAATTATTCAGAACTCAAAAACATTCCTTCTCAAAACTGTAAACAAATATAAAATATGATTACAAATATGTAAGTATGAGTAGATGAGAAATAACGGCAGAAGATTGTTTAATTGTTAGTCTCCTTAGGATATTGCGAAATCGGATTGTAATAGTTTTCACTATAAAGTTATGAAAGAAATTTCAGGTATTTATTCAAAAGCACCTAACAAAAGCCTGTAACTTTTTTACCACTCAAATTGATAACATGTTTACTACATTGTATTTATTATATTCACATATAGTAAATTACCGCTCTGATTCTGGGGAGGACAAATTGCGGATACAGTCATTACGGTTGATACCATCAGAATGAGAATTTCTGCCGACATTTCCACTTTTTATGTCTGCAAAGAAAAGAAAGTCAATTGGTCAATTTCATTACTTTCTTTGGGTAAAGCATTGTTATTACGGCTTATATTGTGTCATTTCTACTAAGACTTTAACTAAGTGATATTTGCTAAGACTTTCGTTGCGTGTATTGCTAAAACTTACAGACTTACATTAATTGATGTCTGTTGAAACTTACATTAAGTAATGCTAAGACTTACATTAATTGATGTCTGCTAAGACTTAAATAAAGTAATGCTAAGACTTACATTCTTTGGTATCTGCTAAGACTTACATTAAAATATATCTGCTAAAACTTACATTAATTGATATCTGCTTAGACTCTTACATTAATTGATATCTTCTAAGGCTTACATTAAGTGATATATGCTAAGACTTACACTAAGTAATGCTTAGACTTACATTATTTGATATTTTTTAAGACTTTCATCAATTGATATCTGCCAAGATTTACATTAATTGATATCTAATTGAAAGATTAACTTATGTTTAGTGAGTATGCTAAGTAAAAAGCTTCTAAGAAAAAAATAATAATAGTATCATTTAAAGCTTAATGTACTTTGAAGTGATAACTGAACAGATTAACTTTAAGTGATTTCTATTAAGACTTACATTCGGTGATATCTGCTAAGACTTAAAATAAGTGATATCTGTTTAGACTTACAAAAAGTGATATCTCTTCAGAGATACATAATGTGATATCAGCTTTGACATACATAAATTGATATCTTCTCAGACATATAAAGTGATATCAACTTAGACATAAATAGGCATACTTAAAGTGATACCAGCTAAGACATACATAAAGTGATATCAGCTTTGACATACATAAATTGATATCTTCTCAGACATATAAAGTGATATCAACCTAGACATAAATAAAGTTATATATGCTCAGACATACTTAATGTGATATCTGCTCAGATAAAGTGATATCTGCTTAGACATATATAAGGTTATACCTGCCTAGACATACATGAAGTGATATCTGTTCAGACTTACATAATTTGATATCTGCATAGACATGCATTGGCAAATTTTTTATTCAAAGATCAATATTTATTTTAAATGATTTCTGAAAAAGTCTGCTTTAAGAGATTTCTGATAGAAGGCTAGTTTGTAATGCTTACATCATGTACATAGAGCATATCCCACGAAACTTATATGAGCTATATAAGACATTTCTGAATTTGAATGCAGCAAAGATTTACATTGAGATTTTTTCTTAAAACGTTACACTGACGTATTGTTGCAATGCGATTTTTTGCAAGATTCACATTGACTGATTGCTCTAAAGGCTTACATTTATATTATTTCTAGAAAGATGACAATTCGATTTGATTAAAAAAAATAACATTGTTGGATTTTTAAAAATATTTATAGTGATTAGTTGCTGCAAATTGTGACATTGAGAGATTTCTGGAAAGGTTTGCATTGACATTTTGCTGTCAGCACTTACATTGACAATACTTAATTGTGAGATTCGAAACGTATATTTGATGGAATATTCGAAAGATTCAGTTAGGTACTGGAAAAAATAAATAAAGAACTTTGGAAATACTCTATATTAAATGCGCAACACTCCCAATGGAAAGAGATGAAGATAGACTGTGCAAATAACGACATTAAGCATTTCCTGGCAAAGAGTAACATCGCTGCAAAACTTACATTTTCCATTTTTTACTAAGGAAGACTTCAGTGAAATGTGTTAGTAAAGAATATAGGTCGCGTACTATAAGAAGTGAGAACAACAATATAAATAACTGGTATAGTTATCTTTCGGAACAGTTGTATGTAGGTGTAGTAGGTAAGGAAAACGTCTAGCAGAAATAAAAAGTCATTTCAACGGAATGTTTCTCTATTGATTCTTAGCAGAATACACAAAACTGTCGGTGACAAAACAATGAGCTTTTCCTAAACTCCCAGGAGTAGTTTCTGCAAAAACGTGCATTGTATGGTTTAAATAGACGTATGAGAGTCGTACATGTATAACTTGACTTTACACTAAAACGTTTATAGGAAGTCTCTATGAATATGATAAAAACACCTAACACTTATTAATTTATAAAAAGACTACCTTCGTTTAGAGTGTAATTAAATACTTTAAAACATTTTTATTACTTGGCTTACACCTTAAAATGCATGTGTGATATGTTGAAAGATTAGAGCCAGTGATATATGTAGTTACTTACGTTGGAAAATTCTTATTCCAAAACTTCCACTGGGTGATTTATGTCAGACCAACATTGTGAGTTCAAAACTTAGACAATCATTATAATATATATTTAAAACAATTAGCAAAATAATGTTATTATACACTTATAGCCAACACACTATGACTTTTGAAACTGTGTATCCTATTTTCAAATATCTATTATGTGCATAAGTATGTATTTCCGTGAAAATTCGACTCTAGACTGTCCAATACACGTATGTACTATATGCTTCAGTACATGTTAATGTATGAAATAAAGACTATGGATTTATGTAATTTAGATTTCTTTTTACTCGATATATTGAAACAAACTCAGCCAAAAACTCCCAGCATTAAATGACTATTTCTTAAATTGTTTAGTTTCCTGCCGTAGGTTTGACCGAAATAGTTCTTCCCCGAGGTCTGACGTAAAGGACCGAGAAGTTGCGATTCAGCATTAAAAAAAGAACAACAACAAAAAAACTCTAAAGGGTTGAATATAAGCTCTTACATCTATGGTGGCATATTTCTGCACCCAGATAACCATATAACTGACTAGTTACTTAAGAGGTTAACTAGTTATGTAACTAGTTAACCTCTTAATTAACTAGTAAGTTATCAGGTTAACTAGTTACGTAACTAGTTAACCTCTTAATTAACTAGTTAGTTATCATGTTAACTAGTTACGTAACTAGTTAACCTCTTAATTAACTAGTTAGTTATCAGGTTATCTGGTGGCCGAAATATGCCACCATATTATGGTACATCACTACACTATCGCCGTTACTTCAAGTACAATGTTGATCAATACGTGCGTGAGGTACGGTGATATCAATTTCCATAAATACTATAAATTTTGTTTGTTCGATAGTTTCTTCATAAATATAAATATATACATTACCTAAACAATGTTTCTAACTCTGTCTTCTTGGGAAATGATGGAATTTAAATTATGAAGACGAAACGTTCGAGATTTTTACAATCTGATTGTATTGTAATCACAAGTTTATGTATTAAACAATTACTGAATCATCTTGTATGTATAGTGTTCGCTACTCATTCTATAATGACGGTAGTTTGAAAGTTTAAATAGAAATAGCAGTATCGGTGAGGATAATGATGACGCTAACCAACAAGTTGGTGGTGGCGGCGGTTGTGATGATTAATAATGATGGTTTTGGTGATAATGATTGTGATGGTAGAATAATAATGGTGTTGAATGTGATGATAATTGTAATGATTGTGATGAAGGAGGTGGTGGTGATGAAGGTGGTGGTGATGAAAGTGGTTGTGTGGACGGTGATTGTGATGAAGGTGGTGGTACTGGTGGTGATTATGATGAAAGTGGTGGTTGTTATTTTGATAGTGATGATGATGATGATGATGATGATGATGACGGTGGTATTTGCGATAATGGTGGTGGGAATGGTTGTTATTGTTGTTGTAATGATGATGGTGGTTGTGATGAAAGTGGTTGTAATTATGATAATAGTGATGATGATGACGGTGGTATTTATGATGAAGGTGGTAGTAATGGTGATGGTGGTAATGGTGATGCTGAATGTCGTTATTGTGGTGGTAGTGATGGTGATAAATAAGGAAAAAAGTTGACATTATGTTGAGCTGCCATCTTGTAGAGATGCGATAAGAAATCTGAAAATAAATCAGCCGCGTCACGACAAAACCAACATAGTGCGTTTGCGACCAGCATGGATCCAGACCAGCCTGCGCATCTGCGCAGTCTGATCAGGATCCATGCTGTTCGCTATCAGTTTCTCTACTTTGTAATAGGGTTTGTAAGCGAACAGCATGGATCCTGATCAGACTGCGCGGATGCGCAGGCTGGTCTGGATCCATGTTGGTCGCAAACGCACTATGTTGGTTTTGTCGTGACGCGGCTCAAATGATAGTTCTCATGCAATGTTCAAATTTACATTTTCTACTTATAATTTGAGGATCAAGTCGCTTTGAGCACATATTCGAATATGAAAACTGGCCACTTAGAATAGTGATATGCACTGACAATTATTGTATAAAAGATTGAATGTTAAGGCTAATTATTTGGTTCCCGGTCTTACGTATTGTATAGTAGATTGAATGTTAAGAATATTTATTTGGTTCCTGTTCTCCAGAAAAGTGGTATTGCACAGTAGATTGAATGTTAAGAATATTTATTTGGTTCCTGGTCTTATAAATGTTGTATTGTATTATTTTACATTTGATAATCTTATGTCTTGATCAAGGATATAATACATGTATATGTTAAATTCCAAAAATCTATATTATTGTTTATAAACTGTAACTAGTAAAACAATGTGATGTGCATCATATTAAACGGCAAATAAAATTGGTATTTTTCATTATATTTCTTTAAAATAATTCTTATTTTAATCAAAAACGCTATTTTAAATTTGCCGTAGCTATTTTAGATATAAAATGATTTGTCATATCATCATCGCGGGGGTGATGTTGTCATTCTTTGTTAAGCGTTCGTCCATTGTATAAAGTTTTTATACAATAAAATTTTAGATTTGTAATAATATGTGATTATGATAGGATTTTGTAAGAGATTTTTTCATAAAATCAAACTGGTGGGAATTTGTGATACAATTTTAATGACATTTAATCATCAAATTAATCATATAGATTGGTGAAATTTTTTTTTACAACATCACATATGTTAAAGGCACATTATGCCTCAGAAACAAATATATTTTTACTTCTTAAGAAAGGGCAAACATGAATTTTATTACGTTTAAATAATGGTTTTAGATCATGTTAGTTGCTTTTTACGTGAAGAAAGTAGCACTTAATGTGAAAGAATTTGTCATTAAAGTAGCGAAATGTAAACAAATTAGTATTTTGACTTCAATACAATATACTAAATGACTATTGCAGTACTCATTGCCGAAAAGCAACAGAAGAAAAAGATGGTTAAAGTAATTTGCTAATGAGTAACTTTTTGGAAACTATTAAAATACACCAAAAATTGATAGTGTTTTAGAAATTAAAATAAAAGCATTTCAGAGGCATAATGGGCCTTTAAGATGTTGTTTTACGCTTTTACATTACATCATAGCGGTGGGATTTTTTGATACATTTTTTCATAGAAACATATCAATAGTGTGTGTGGTCATTTGTGACAGAATTTGGCAAATGATAATAGCGCACACGGAAATTAAAAATGCAAAAAGTTATCTTTTAATTTCCTTTTGAAAAAAAATTGATAACATAATTCACAATCACTTTAGTATGTTTGAGTCTGTATAAGTTAAAGTCAATATTATATTTGGAGTGTGTGGTACTTAAACTTGAAACAGAAAGGTATGGTTGTATTTTGCAATCAAGTATTTTGTCATTACTATTGTGAAAGAAAATTGTGCTATAGCGGGAAAAAATCTGCTTCACGCTCATTTTTTTATTAATTTAAGTTTGAAACTGTACACAGGTAAATTTATTTCCCTGTCAGTCAGTGTCCGTCAGTGTGTAAGTTGCACGGGTTTTGTGTGTCTGGCAGCAGCAGCAGTATATATACAAACGATAAAATAGTATACATTATCTTTGTAATCATTACTTAGAATTTCAATTACACATCTTCAATGACGTACTATCTTTGACTTTGATCAATTATTAATATTTAATATTGCCATAAGTACATTAGAGCCGCGTCACGACAAAACCAACATAATGCGTTTGCGACCAGCATGGATCCAGACCAGCCTGCGCATCCGCGCAGTCTGATCAGGATCCATGCTGTTCGCTATCAGTTTCTTTACTTGTTATAGGGTCTGTAAGCGAACAGCATGGATCCTGATCAGACTGCGCGGATGCGCAGGCTGGTCTGGATCCATGCTGGTCGCAAACCCATTATGCTGGTTTTGTCATGACACGGCTCAATTATCTGATATATGGCATAAATCTACGATTTTATTTTTACAAGACAGGGTTAATGCATATTTGAAAGAGGGGTGTTGGCATTTTACTTTTTTTTTCATGGGGAGTCATAAGTCAATATCCAGTAGCCACCAATTAGCAAGTGTGCTACTATCGTTAATCTTACAGGGTCCGCTAAACTAGATGTGTTCCTTGACTTGTTGTACTATCACTTAAAGTTTATGGTTTTTAGTTTGATTGCGTATATGAAGCTATATAAAAGATCACTCAGAAACCAACCATTACTTATCAGCGAGGTTTCTTTCTTCGAGTAAAAAGCCGGCTTGCCCCAGAGAGGTTTTGAACCCACGCGGCGAGATCCTATCACACTGCTGGTGTTTTTATTGTTGTTGATGCTACCGTTGTTGCTGCTACTGTTAGGTTTAAAATTTTACTGTCTGGTTTAAGCCTGAGAACGGGATAAATTTTGTTTGGGAGTCCAAGTGGGACCATTAATGTGAAAATTTTATCCCGATTTCAGGTCTCAACCAGACAGTAAATTTTACAATTATATCAAGTACTAAAGCCAATCTTTGCTGCGCTACATTTTTGTTTGATATTCTGACGATGTTTATTTTATCTTCGAAGCGAACGGATGTTTATTTTTTATAAAATTTTTTAAATACTCCCCCCCCCCCCCCCAAAAAAAAAAAACAACAAAAAAAAACAACAACAACAACAAAAACAGTCCATTTTGCAGATGGCGTAGTATTTATCATTGGCTTTGTAACCTTTTAATCTTTTTATCTATTATTTCTTAATAAAAAGACTAAGCGGATGATGTGATATTATGTATCATTATTCTATAAATAGCAGCTCTGTCATCAAACATTGAAAAGCTCGTGACCTTGTTTTTAAATTTATGCGATAGTTAGACGGGGAAGTAAATACTTAACCACTTCTACGTCTTATTACGTATAGCGTCTAATACTTAAATTCCATCTTTTTCATATCTTATATACAACCATTAAAGTAGCCATATAATGTGTTTCAAGCCTTCATGTATGTTTAAATATTTGGTTTAAATTTAATCTTACTCTTATTTTCCGGTGTTGTGATATATATATATATAACATCGTTATCTTTTTAAACCACTATTGCTCATTCGTAACATGAAAGAAATTACGTAATCATTTTGACGATTAAATATAGTAATTAGTAAGCCTCGAGAGCACTGTTACCATACAGGAAATAAAATTGGTTTTATTTACATATACGCTTGAGTAATAAAGAATGTATACAACAATCTATTAATAGTACATTATATCATACGTTAAGTTTGCATTTCCGATAGTTAATGGCTAAAAATAGAAACTGACAAAACAGTTTCGTTTTAATTAGCAGGATTCTTACATAGTTATTCCGAGACATTGAATAAATGGGGGGATATTCTATTTTTGGTTTACGTCTTGACTTTAAAAATAATGAGTCGTATGCGGTTGTGTTTAATCTTTAACAGAGTGCTGGTATGTATAGTACACGATATGTTTATCGCGTGCAAAAAAAAAAGAAATAAAAAGAAGAAAATATTTGGATATATGTGCTCAAATTCAATTAATGAAATAGTTTTTTTTTCAAAATGATAAACGAGGGAACATTTTACTTTATATTTAACATCTGTCTAATTGATAAAAATGTATGAGTTTTATAAAACTATATCAATCAAATATGTATAATGTTATTATTAATCGATTGGTTGTTAAGAAAGTTGGTTTATATTTAAATACAATTATTTATAAAGGGATGGAGTAAACAGAGGATATTCAAGCTTTTTCTATAAATACAAGATTAATTTTCATCGGGTGGTATGAAAATAAATATTTCATAAGTGGCGGTAGCCACGAGTGAAATATGATAGTTTTCATACCACAAGATGAAAATAAATCCTATATCTATAGATAAAAATCTTTTCTGTTTATCATTTTTGTTGACATTACAATTTGAAGGACTTTCCCTTAAATTTTGTATATTGGCTAAATTAAGAAGAAAGTAGTCCGGTAATACACCAGTGAAAATACGGAAAATATGTTTCACTGCAGTGAAAAATAATTTTTTAATATTGAAAATACGGAAAATGAAAAAAAAAACACATTTTATTTCATAACTATTTCTCAATATTTCATATACAAGGATATAATAAAATAAAACATTGTGTGTGTTTTATAGATTATGATAAGATATTACGTAATGTTACGTTAGTAATAGAGCAAACCAAGTAAATATATATGAGAAACGATTTTCTTATCTTGAAACATGGTCTTATGTAAACACAGTTTACAAATGATTTTTCAAAAATACATATGTCTTATATTTCAGGAAAAAACGAAACAAAACAAAACATGCATTCATTTTATGTTTTCACGATTTTTATATTGGGGATGAAAGTCAGTGTTTTACAAGGGCAAAGATGTCCACGTCAAGAAACAGGTTTGTAATGTTTTCTATTTTGTTGGTACATGTATAAATATTTATGAAAATAATCATATTTACCGATAATCACAATAAACTATTCAAACAAATTCTCTTTATCATTAGTATATTTTGTTACAAAATAGAAAATAAATAAATAAATAAATAAATAAAATTTGATATTTCAATAATTTCCTCCATGATGCAAGTTCTGTGTTATTGCAATCTTTCAGAATTACCGAGAGGTGTGGACATATACGAATCCGTACGTTACGGACATTATGTGGAACTTGAATGTTGTTCTCGTAAAGGGGGTGCTGTAAAATGGATGAAATGGGATAAAAACACAAACCAATGGCAAAACTATTCACCGGAGCGAGACGATGTCTTCCTATTAGAATCGAACCAAATTCTAGCAATTCAAAGTGCCACATTTGAAGATACGGGGTCTTACAAATGCAAGGAGCAAAATAGTTCAGCTTCTGTTGACTTGAAAAAGTTTAACCTACATGTCGTTGCATGCGACAAACTAGCAAGGGGACCATTTCCGGTGTCACCATTGCCTTGTGCTGAAACCATCGCTGCAGAAAAAGAAACGATAACTCTTCCATGTACAGGATATTTTGGATGCGGCGATGACGGTGATATAAGAATTGTAATGTGGTATGTGTCTGAAGATACGGACGATAACTGGAAAGAAATATCAGAAGTAGATGATAGATATACAACAACAAAATTTGAAGAGTAAATATGTTATTATAATACAACATTATATTATCTGTAGATTTTTTCCTCTATCGTTGGCTATCTTATTTCATATTTAAGTTCAAGAAAAATCATTAACATTTGAGTTGGACATATTAAAAACCACAATAGAATAGGGCGGGAATTTGACTTAAGTAGAATGAGAACGACTATAATACAATTCTACTTCAAATTGTTCCGACATGTGGCCAATTAACAATATGCCTCTACATCCTAAGTTTCATTTAAATTGAAGTGGTTTAAAAGTAGTTGCGTTGGTTGACTTTCGTTATTAACAATTAAATTTGATCTCTGACACGTAGGATGTTTTACACTGATAAGATGCGCTGACAATATGACAATATGACAATGGTTTCAAAGTCCAACAATTTAGATTACAAATATATCATGTTTTAACCATTGTTCTTTTAAGATCCTTTTAAGTCGTGAAAAGGTTTACTCAATTATTGCGCTTGTTTCAGTAATAATTATACCTATATGACGTCAATTCAATTACGTATGGTCAGCATAAGTTTAGCCTAACTTTAAAATATTTGAATCATGACTGTTGTTTACTTAGTCATTCATGACTGCATATTATCATGGATTTACTTTCGGTTAGTAATATATGGTGTATTGTTTTCTTTCAGGGATTCCGGAACAGTGGTTGGGTTAAATTTGACTATCAAATCAGTTTCCGCTGTTGACTTCCGGCGGAAGTTCATGTGTTTACTTGCTTCTCCCCAAATGATAAAAAGCCAAAGTAGTACAGTTGTGACCCTAAGAAACAAAAATAGAATTGGTAAGTGGTAGATAAGCGTGTGTGGCTGAAGGCCCACAGTGTTGGAAGTTCTGGCACGTTTTTCGCGTGCAGCATTATTATATTCGTCGACTTTGAGATTCGTGTCATATGTCTGGGATTAGGACTACTGAAAATAAAAAAAAACTAATTTAAAAGCATGATTTCCGAACGTGCTATGTAAAAAGTAAGTTCTTAAAAATAATTGTTTTGCATTATAAGTTATTACACTCTATATAGACCTATTTACTACGCGGCCCGTTGCTATAAAAATCTGACCGGACGAAGTATTTTTAGCGCAATATTATTATTTTTAGGGTTTCCCATCCGACCACGTCACGCTTGAAACCGTTGTAAAAATGTCGTACTTCATTTCGTAGTAAGCAAAAAAGAGGTAAACTTAATACTTCTTGAGGTAAACTTAATTCTTCTTGAACAAAAATCAATTACATAATATCAAAGATTTATAATTCATAATTATGTAATCTAGTTTCGTGAATAAGTATGCATATGAGATATCAAGTAATGTCACCCACAAAACAGCCGTTATGTCGGAATCGAATGCATCAGGGTCTTTCAAATTAAAAAGAATACGGAAAAGTTTAAATTAATTTCTTATATTCATATATGCATGGGTTATTCACAATGTTATCTTCTCAACGGTTGGTCAATACTTTGGATTAGATTAAAGTTTTCAAACTGATAGTATGTATCGCTTTTTTTCCCTATACAGAATGCGCATGCGCGAAATGATACTTCTGTTTATAAGGAAATTTCGAACTAGCCAAAGGTCTGTACAAGCGAACTGTTCTTGTTGTTGGGTTATAAGTCGAGCCGAATCCGTAATGATGTAATGGAGATTTCAAGCTTTACTGGAGGTTGAAGACCCCAGGTGCCACTCCGTACATGTTTTCATGCACAAGCTGATATCTGTGTAGAATAAGCTAGCTGGATAGATGACTGTTACGTTCATTTTAAAATATCACAAGTGTCATACAGACAAAAACGCTTTTGAACTTCTATCTTCCTTATGTATGCACAGATTTGGCATTGTAACACTTGTAGTCGATTGAAATTAAGTCTTAAACTTTTCTCCATGCAGGCTTTAGTTTTTTTTTTATTCATGATACATATTTAAGATGTGCGTTGGGCCGCTGGGCCGCCAGGCCGCTAGGCGGCCAACTCCACATATCTAAGTATTTATCTTATCACTACTATATATGTATGTTTTTGAACGTTCAGTTATAAATAAGAGTATTTAATTCATTTACAATAATGTACAATCGCTTTACAAATGATGGAAATGACATCCTTGATAATCTATTCTTTAGGTGAAGACCCCATGCTTAAATCTGGATTCGATTCTGGAGAGGTGCTAATAGTTCTGGCAGTTGTTTCTGTCTGTCTTTTGATTCTTACCGGTGTTCTCGCAGGACTTTTTATTCAGAGGCAAATGATGAAATCCCGGAAGTCATGTGAAAGGAAGGGAAATCATCAACAGTGGGAGACGATGATCTACAAAAGTACCGGGGATTCTGTACAAATGCTGCCATGAAGATTTACATAATCCAGTCGTATTTAATATTGACAATCGGCATATCATGTCTATGTTTTGTTTGAATGTTACTAGTTAACAGTAGAAAACCGTCCTATCTTTTGACGACACTTAAAGACAGTGTTTTTGTTATTGTTTGTAGATTTTACCAAATGTTCCCACCTTCTAGTCATTTAACATCTTCAGGAATGATTACTTGAATCAAACAAACTAAGACTCCCCCGCAGTCAGTCTCTGGTGAAAGTTGCATTATAGTATTTCTCACAGTAAAAATATGTAATACAACAACGAGCTTATTTGGTGCTACGATATTACTCGAAAAATATCGATCTTGGTTCCTTACTTTACATGACAGGTATTTTAAGGTGCAAATGATGGAAATAAGTTGTATGCATGCTTTATCCGTATGTTAATTTTACGATACATTTCGATTGTGTCTTCCTGGTTGTGTTGACATAAAATACAATATCATTTCCAGTCCTTTCGGGAAATATGAATTACAAACGTTTTCTTCCGTTTGTCAGAGGAACAAAATGTGACAGAAATAAAAATTATAACAATAATAAGTCAACAAAATTTATTTATCACCATGAAATCAGGGAATTGACAAATGTAAGGCACACTATGTGGCCACAAATTTACTTCACTTGATGTATAAAATTGATTTTTTGTTATTAAAATGTTCATAACTGTTTAACGACAATAAAATATATAAAACCAAAAGTATTGATATTTCTTTTATAAATTTATATACAATTCCGTATCAGCAAAAAAATCACGCGTACCCTAACAGAAGTATGAGTCACTTGAATGTGTTTACTGACTATGACTATTTCAATTCGTCATTTAAAGACCTTGTTGAGAGCAAGAAATATTAGTTTTGTATGTGAACCAGTTTTTTTAGAATATTCATATGTTACTGTTCTCGTTGTCACGTATATATTTCCAATATTAACCCATGTATATATTTTCGTAACTTAACGCTTACGTTTAACCTTACGTAAATCGTAAGTGCGTTTCACAAAACTTAAGCTTTTTTTGAAGTGATCAATTGACATCAGCACACGTTTTTGTTCGCTAAAATGGTTACTTAGTGATAATATTATTTTCCTCTAGAATCGAAATATTGAATTAATAAATCGGGCACAAATTTTTTTTTTTATTATTTTTATTTTTTAAAGAAATCACACGTGTTCATTTATTAACAATAAAACTTTTCTTCAGCATTAATACAAATGACTATCAGAATAATCAACTTATTATCAACGTTTTGTCATTCTTATATAATCGTAATATTTAAGTTGATTAAAAGTTTGTTATGTATCTTTTTATATTTTAAATCCGAATAAAAGTGATAAATAATTTACATTATGTTTAAAAAAAATAACTGCATGTTACTTGCTAATTCCCTACATCAATTATTAAATTGTTATGTAATTCATATATTTAAACTATTCTTTGTAAAATGCATTCTTTACTATAAACACTTGTAATACACCTTAGTAAACATACATTCTATGATTTCAGGGTCATTTAAGGCCATTCAAAAACCTTCATAATTAAATACCAACTGGATTTAAGACCTAGACTTAAAAGCTCAATAATTTGCTTCTCGTCCATGAATTGCTGTTTCTCTTTTGTCGTTAAAAATACAATCTGAAACCTGCTGGATGGTTTTCATATTTGTCGTATATTTGAATAAAAAGAAAAAAAATTACCAAGTTTTAAAGACACATAATGCCCCAGAAATATTTTTTTTCATATCTTTAGAAAGGGCAAACATGAATTTTATAATGCTTCAATAATGGTTTTAGAGAATGCTAGATGCTTGTTTCCTGAAAAAAAGCGATGAATGTGAAATAATTTGTCATAAAAGTAGCAAAATGTAAACAAGGTAGTAGTTTTACTTCCATACAAAAAAACTAATTCACTATAACTGTACTTATCGCTAAAAAGCAACAGATGAAAAAGATCGTTCATGCAATAGTCCAATGAGTAATGTTAGATACTATATAAAAGTACACCAAAATTAAAAAGCTTTTATGAAATAAAAAATAAAAACATTTCTGAGGCATAATGGGCCTTTAAAACTGGAATACATGATATATACACCTTTAATATTATACTGTGCTTTCTAATTAGCCATCGCGGATGTGAGTTTATGATTTTATATGTAAAAAACATGGTATTCTTATTTTCTTATTTCAATTAACTATTATATTGTCATAATGAAACAAATTAGCTTAAAATCTGAGAATTAAATCCAGCTGCTTTTTTCTCAATAACATATACAAGTAAAGTCAACTACTTAAGTATTTAAAAACAACATTACATATTAAAATGATATACAGTAAATATTTAACATGTACAAACAGCAAATCAAAACAAAGTGTTCGTTACGAATAAAGAGTCAAACTATTAATGTTCTACAAAATGTTTTAAAGCTGCATGCCTCAAGATGAGCCAAAATATTTCAAGAAAATCGTACTAGATAAAAAGTACTGAGATTTTAAGAAAAGTAAAAAGATTCAAGATAAAAGTGATAATGTTCATGTTATGTGCCATTTAGGACCAATTTTGCAGTATTTTTCACTATCTTTCTACTGCGTTACTAACACAGTAAGGGCAATTTTTGCATATTCTGACTTCTTTATGGGTATTTATTACGGGCTGTAAGTGCCGTGTGCAGTTTGAAAGCTAATTTTGCAATAATTTACTTTTTAATACATTTGCAAAATTTTCATGAAAGTTAGCATTGATCTGGAGGCATGCTACTTTAAAGCATCAACACACCTTTATTCATAGTTTTTTTATTCAAATTAACAGGTGTTTATAAATTGAGATGAAGTTTGAAAATCGGAGATGAAATCATTCAATATTAACAAAAGTTTTCATCTTTTTTTTTATTTTACAGAAAATTTTTTTTTGCCCTCTGTGTATTAATAAAACAAACCATTAAAGGTATTATATAATACCTGCATTTACATAACAATATCATTCACGATCTAAGTTTTTACCCTACTGATATTTGTTCTAAAATCAAACTGAAAAAATAAAAAATGATAAGAATGTAACAAAAACTTGAGAAATGAATAAATTTACAAATATCCGCTTCTTAAGGTGATAATACTTGTCAACTATATGAAAAACATGTTATTCATAAAATGTTGTCATATATAAACCAAAATCTTCAAAAACATATTTACGTTAAAAAAAGTATTTATGTTTGTCCTTTTAACATAAGCGTAATTTTCTAATTTGCATATCTGCCGGTGTACAGGTAAACCGCACTCTGTGAAAAACACAGTTTTGTAACAGATCCAGGAATCAGGGAGTGCAGAGTCAGTATTAAATATTACAGCAACTGTTTTTGTTTGCTCCCCGGTGCAGTCGGTAAAAACCAAATGCGTTAATACTTTTGGGTGCCAAGTACCGGCGGCGATAATCCAAATACAGAAACTAGATAATTTCAATTACTTGTAATGTTTTATGTATTGCAAACAAAATCCAAAAAAATATACTGAAAAAGAGCTCCACCTGAGACTCAAACCAACAACTGGTCTCACACAACGCAAGCATTCTACTTCTACAAAACTGGGTAATCTCGATTTCATAGTGCGAATTTCGCGTGTATTGAAACTATAATAGTTTAATAAAATAGTTAAATGCATGGTTATTTCCCTTTGATTTGGAATCGCCCATGTAAATTTTATATGTCAACAACGTAGGTGAGTTTTCATTTTATTTCTTCTCTGGGTATTGTTTAAGCAAACATATCTTAGTTCATTTCAGAAATAAAACAACGAGCGATCTGTTTCTGTATTGTTCTGACCGAAAATTCTCGAATGACATCGCTTTCATTTTATAAGTCATTCAAATTAGATTACGTGGCAATGTTTCTGTACTTTTACGGAACTCAGCGAGCTACGTTCGGAATATACTCCGGGACAAATCAAACGATTTTAAGACCTGTCGGCCAAAAAAAAAATATTTTCGGAAATTATGTCCGTCAAAATCTTTTACTTTTTTCAACCATCTCAAGTAAAATTCTTTTTTAAAATGGGGATAATTATAAGTTTATAACACAGGCTATATTTTATAGGCTTTATTTTTGCGTTCAGTTTGACCAGTATTATCACTGTGTATGCGGTATATTTTAATTAGTCCTTTATTATATGGTTTAAACATAAATTATTTGCGAAACAAGTTCTTGCAAACACTTTTAAGTCCACTCCTGGAACCAACAAGTACTGGTGTCATATGAAGAAACATGGTTGTGCCCCGCTTAGAGCTCGAACCCATGATGCTTGGGCTAAGAGGCAGACTGGTCTGGCACTATACAGGCTGCAAGTCATTGATGCTGTGAGTATTTAGATGGTTAATAAACACCTCTAAAATATGACCCTAATATGAATAATTATGACCCTAATATGAAATTTCAAAAATAACGCTCAATGCGACAAAAATTGAAAATGTTACATGCTTTGTTTATTCTATTTGCCGGAATTCCTTATAAAATACTTTTCACTTAAATTTTGACCAAATACATTTGTTAAGAATCTATTGCAGTTATGCCCGGCAGATTTGGTTTTATCACTCGTAAAGAAAACAACAATTCGTATTATCATATAACATTCTTATCTTCAAAACAGATGTTCCCCTTAGTCCAAAATTTTGAACTCAGATCATAAAATATACATCTTTACAGTATAGTTTAAAGTGTACACATTAAGTTGTTAATGATGAGCACGCCGTGAATTGAAAAGTGCGGTACCCTAAGAATTTTGAACTACATTATTTGAATTTCGAAATGTAAGAAAATGCATTTCTGAAAGTAAAAAAGAAAACACCGAAATAGAAATTTCCAGTAATCGTTATTAAACATTTCTCATTGAAATAATTTATTTTATAAAGGGTTTAAGAAAATGAACATAAACAAGTTATAAAAAGGTTTTCGTACGAATGCTGGTTATTTCATTTCAAACACTGTAAGGCAAATCTGTTATAACAGTGTAACATAACCAAACTGTAACAATTCTAAAACTAATAAAAGATATCTATAAAGCTTAATTACCAATTACCCATTCTCTTTTACAGAAATTTTAAAAGCCGCTCATTCAATTGAAAAAAAAATACCGTAAACAACAATTAATTAACAAAGCTAATAACCGATCAGTAAATAAACTTTTCATTTAAAATATAACTAGGTCACAACATCTGAAAGACTAGCAATGCTATGCTATACAAAATAAGGAACAACTTGTTTCAACAGTATGTACAAAAACAAAACTATAATTTAGAACAAATTGCATATTTCAAATATATGTTTTAAAGTTGACAAAATACATTCTACTTACAATCTATTCAAAATACAATCAAACATTCATTCTACATTATTTCTATCAATTTCTGCTTCTTCGCAGTTAACATTATTGCCTTAATGTACAATATACTTTTTGTTGATGATGCGTATTGTTTTACTTCACATTAACATTGTTATATAAAACTTATTGTTTGAAATTATTAAAAAAAATTGTTTCTTAAAAATACTGAAAAGAATTTTTTTTAACCATTTTGTTTACACAAAGCGAATATCATTTTGTACTCGAAAGGCCAGTACATTTTATTTTTTTAAAAATTAGCCTTAAGTTTGCTGTAAGCTTGCGACCAGCACCGGTATATCGGTGCCGTCTTATCATGGCCTGCACTGTTCGCTAGTCAGTTAATACTTATCTCGAAATTTTCCCTATAAATGATAAATTATTTTATCCATGCTAAAAGATGGACAAGTTCAATTAAACTATTTAAAGTGTTAATGTTAAAATGCAATACAAGCAAGTCATTAAAATAACATAAGAAGTAAACTGTGAAATGGCAACCAAAACGTTTATAAAAGTAATGCTAACTTTAAAAAATAATATTTACACAACTTATCTTGCTTCAGCAGAAAACATTTTCATTCCTAGAAATATTATCAAATATTAACTTGTTCTTAACCCATAATCGATTAATTCTGATATTTTCGTTTCATTTCTTGAATTAATCAAAACTTTACTGTGTCCGTTAGCATCCTTTCGATGATCATTTATTCCGCTTCAGGTACTGCATAGCCATTAACTGTCAGTGTATGGACCAACCCCTCTCCATGTTTTCCCTGGGTACATGTAATTCGGGCCTTATATGCTGCTCCAAAGACGAAATCAAACGTTGCTTCACCTTGACAACAATTTGTCTGCAAAGGAAAAAGTAAAGGTACACAACTTATAAAGAGGATATTAAAATTCATTACTGAATTTATTGAACGAGTTGAATAGAATTTTTTTATGCGTGTTAAAGGAATCGCTTTTTTATTGCCGCACTTATAGTGTAGCGCGTCTTCATAATGCATGTCACGTCACGTCAAAATATATGCATGACGTGCAATACCCGTTTAGTTTATACGGAGCCGCAAAAGGAACACGGGTATATTATTTTTTTTCAAATGCATGCATAAAATATACGTAGCATATCCTTGTGAATCAATCACTAAATGAACTTATTCCAAAAATGCAATTTTGAGAAGAAAAAAAAAGAATTCCCATGACAATTTATTTTATTTTTTGTTTTCTTTCCTTTTTTCAAATCATATAACCGATCAAAAGAAAAGTTTAGAATTGCTTGGATGTCAATCATAAGAAACAACAGCATCGATCACACAAAGATAAATAAATGAATAAATAATAATGAATAAATAGAGGGTATTAAATAAGTGTATATTTAGTACAAATAAGCTTGAACGAGTTGAATAAAATCATATTATAACATTGTTTTATTCAACTCGTTCATTAAATTTGTTATTAAATCTACATCTATGTAACGACGTTTTAATCATATGCTTTGCGGTAGACAAGTAGACAATGCAGCTATAATTTAATATTTTTACAGTGAAATTTAAAAAGAAATATTTTTGTACAATAGCCGAACTATATTTGGATGCGGATAAAAAGAATAAAACTTGAATATGTAAAATATCTCAGGAAATAGGAAAGAGGCTTAGTTGATAAAATTGTATCCAATGATTTATTTTTGACCGTCACTTGGTTCAAACGCTGAATGTTCATTGATGTGAAATAATTGATAATATCAGTTTTTTTTTTAAATTTGTGTGCTTGCATTTTCACTGTTGCTGTATGCTGTATAGTAGATATGTGTCATCACTGTTTCTTTAATAAAATCTGTTCTATTCAAACGGGAAAAGAGTATTCGAACGGGGAAAAGAGTATTGGAACGGGAAAAAGAGTATTCGAACGGGAAAAAGAGTATTCAAGCGGGAAAAAAGAGTATTCGAACGGGAAAAAGAGTATTCGAACGGAAAAAAGGGTATTCAAGCGGAAAAAAGAGTATTCGAGCGGGAAAAAGAGTATTCAAGCGGAAAAAAGAGTATTCGAACGGGAAAAAGAGTATTCGAACGGGAAAAAGGGTATTCAAGCGGGAAAAAAGAGTATTCGAGCGGGGAAAAAGAGTTTTCAAGCGGGAAAAAAAGTATTCGAACGGGAAAAAGAGTATTCGAACGGGAAAAAGGGTATTCAAGCGGGAAAAAGAGTATTCAAGCGGGAAAAAGAGTATTCAAACGGTAAAAAGAGTATTCAAACGGGCAAAGAGTATTCAAACGGGGAAAAGAGTATTCGAACGGGAAAAAGAGTATTCAAGCGGGAAAAAGAGTATTCGAACGGGAAAAAGAGTATTCGAACGGGAAAAAGAGTATTCAAACGGGAAAAAGAGTATTCGAACGGGAAAAAGAGTATTCAAGCGGGAAAAAGAGTATTCAAACGGCAAAAAGAGTATTCAAACGGGCAAAGAGTATTCAAACGGGAAAAAGAGTATTCAAACGGGAAAAAGAGTATTCAAACGACAAAAAGAGTTTTCAAACGGCAAAAGAGTATTCAAACGGGGAAAAGAGTATTCAAACGGCAAAAAGAGTATTCAAACGGCAAAAAGAGTAAAACGGCAAAAAAAGTATTCAAACGGGAAAAAGATAACAAGGAAATAACAACATGATAATTACCATAACATCTGTCATTTCGTCATAATTGCAATAGATATCAACCGTATCTTTATCTGCAAAAATACAAATACAATTAATGTTATCAATAATAGCAAAATGAAAAAACGAATGCACAATATTTCTTATGCTGGAAATTAAACACGTTGGTAAAAACTAGGTTGGTGATAGAGATTTAACCTCTAGCAAACTTATCACTATAAAACAAACATTGGTACCTTTAATCAATTAGGCCTGGTTATTTCTACTAACAGCGAAAGGCACAATTTAAATGTTTATGTTTATTTAATCGGGTTTTACGTCACACCGACACAGTATAGGTCATATGGCGACGTTCTAGCTTTTCTGGTGGAGGAAGACCTCAGGTGTCCCTCTGTGCATTATTTCAGACACAAACGGGCACCTGAGTAGAACCACAGACGTTCCGTAAGCTTGCTGAATAGCTCGTCGGTAGTTCTACTCAGGTGCCCGTTCGTGCTCAAAATAATGCACAGAAGGGCACCTGAGGTCTTCCTCCACCAGTAAAGAATGCGTTGCAACGATTTTCACTCCAACAGTTACTGATCAAGAATTGAGCAAGAAATCGATTTTCAATTTAATTCTGAGAATATTTTTTATTAATCTTTGCCATTGTTTCCCTTTTAAAGTGCTTTACTTGATCTATGTAAGAATTTTATGTTTTTAGACTTTTTGACCTCGGGGGGGGGGGGGGGGGGCTCCTTTTAGTAAACGTGTTGTACCATACCATATGGCGATATGTGCCACATCGGAACTCCTTGTGCGTTTAGACAATTACAGTAAAAACTCGATTTTGTTAAAAGTCAACACTTATAAATTATACATCATCAAGTCATAAATCGCTTACAGTTAAAACAAATACCAATTACTAGTATTTAATGAACTTGGTTTTTCTACATACATATTATATCGTTTGTTTACATTTTTTTTTTCACTGTTTGTTATCTTCACTCGACCAGTAAGTCAAGGTCCCCAGAAGGGGGGTTGACTCAATGGAAGATAGATAGACCAGAAGGTGAAAAATATATGAGCCGTGTCATGACAAAACCAACATAATGGGTTTGCGACCAGCATTGATCCAAATCAGCCTGCGCATCCGCGCAGTCTGATCAGGATCCATGCTGTTCGCTATCAGTTTCTCTACTTGTAATAGAGTTGATAAGCGAACAGCATGGATCCTGATCAGACTGCGTGGATGCGCAGGCTGGTCTGGATCCATGCTGGTCGCAAACCCATTATGTTGGTTTTGTCGTGACACGGCTCAATTACCAGAGGCCAGATGCAACACGATCGTGTATTCCTCGTCATCCACAATGAACTGCCACATTTTAGAAAATGCCTCGTTCGCATAGTTCTCCAGCTCTTGTAATTCTTCTTCTTTCTTCAGTTTCCTATAAAACGTTATATTAAAACGTGAAAACGTTATTTTAAAAACTATATCATAAAAAAATCAATAATTAAGCATTTTCAAAATTTAAGTTTTTTTTTTTTTTTTTTTTTTTTTTTTTTTTAATTTATTTATTTATTTACTTATATCGGATTTCAAAATATATTTATCGAGTATATGTTTATTTCCGTTGTTTTCTCTATTTTCTTTGTACATATATTAATTTATTTCTTTGTTAAACAAAACCGAGTACGTTTAAATACTTAAATTATGGATTAACAAAATATACTGAAAGGAAAAGCTAAATGAAATTTTACTTAGACGCTCAAATTACAGCTTCGTAATTAAATCATAGTGGAATTTCAACAATATTTCATGTTTACATTATTTATAAGTTATATACACAGTCTTTATAACTAGCATAAACGGGTCTTAGTTTATATTACCAGGCGAGGGATAGATAGCAAACTACCTTTAACAAACGGGTTATATAACCATTGAATTGATTATACTGCACAATTGCATTCTTTGATCGAATTACAAAATAATTCATAAATTTGATAAAGCCCGGCATATCGATTATATAATCCAATAAAAGTCGACGTTACAAACATACAGTACTATATGTTCCCGTATATACCTTGAGCAGGTATCTTCATATATTGGATTTATTGTTTCATTGAAAATGGGTTTCATTGATCCAAATCTCAATACTTTTAGCATGAAATGTAAATTAGAAAACCTCTGGATCATGATAAAGTTTTGATCGCTTATAAAACATTCATAGGTAACACTTTAAGTGTATCTAATGTATATTTGCCTCACTACACATGCAATTCACTTAGCATTTCATATGATATGGGCATAAATTCTAACCAGTGCAGTAAACAATTCAAACATTCATATAAATTATTCACATACAATAGTGTCAATATTATACAAGAAATGCATATATATATATATATATAAGAATGAGATTCGTCAATGTAAATTTTGCGTATTATGAGAATAACTGCGCATATAGATCTGTATTAAAACAATACTTATCTGTAATCACGTTAACACGCAAAACTTTACAAAAACCTTAACACAAAACCTATCGCTTTAAACTGGAATTTAGTTGTGTCTATTATTACAGTTTGTACATATATAATTTATATATATATTTGAAATTTAAATAAACAACAACAGCAGTAGCAGCAGCAATGACAACAGCAACAACAAAACAAACAGCAGTGTAACACCGCACTTTGGGGTCAAACGCACTTTGGAGTCCGACCCCAAAGTGCGTTACACTTCGCACTGCACTTTGGGGTCCAACGCACTTTGGGGTTAAAATCGAGAAATTGACCCCAAAGTGCGTTAATATGCTACATATCAACGCACTCTGGGTTCAAGAGGTCTAAATGTGTCATCTGAGTTCTGCTTAAATACTGAGTACTGACTTATTTTCTATCTGCGTCATTGGAATATTTGAGGTGCAGTTCAAGATGGCGGTCAATACTTTATGATGCTTAAGTGATAAAAGTTTCATTGATTTATCTCTTGAAATGTCTAAAAAAATGGGTTCATATAAGAAAATTACGGTGGCATAAAAGTGACATTTGCATTTTTTTGTTTTTAGTTTTGTATACATATTTTATTTTAGTTTTGCATACATATTTTTTCAGTTTTGCATACATATTTTTTTAGTTTTGCATTCATATTTTATTTTTGTTTTTCGTACATATCTTATTTTTGTTTTTCATACATATTTTAGCCAATAAAAACAGCCTTCAAATCTGATAACAGCCCATAGGTGAGTATAAAACTAGCACAGTGGTTTGGTCCCATTTCGGCCCATTCTTTGAAATCGACCCAGTCGTTTGCGGCCGGACAAGTTTGCTTTCGGCCGACCCTTTTCGGCCCATTTTTTATATTATATGCATTTTATATAATTATTGTTTTTTATTAATATATACTTTTATGTTAGTGTCTTTTTGGAAAGGGCTGTTGATTGGTGATCAGTTATTATTCCATGAATATGCACCACTCAACCCCACCCCCTGAGAATTGAGAATTATGAAATCTTAAGCACATCCAGATAATGTGCAGAACTTATATGCCAGGTGTGCCTGCTCAAGGTCGGGGTCACACCTTCAGGTCAAAGGATAAAGACTTGGGTTTCATGTCCGCTCCTTATCTCCGAAACCCCATGAAGGATTTTAAGGCACCTTGTGACAAATGTTAACCACATCGAGACCATATGCAGAACCTTTCTTTGGGTTACCGCGGACTATATATTTATATAATTTTTATATACTAAAAAGTGTTGTTATTGTTTGGTACCTTCAAAAATGAAAATATTGGTATTTGCAAATGGCATTTGCAAATGAGGTACAGTAATTTACAGATGGCGAAGTGTTTGAAAATGGTGTTTTACAAATGGTGTAATTATCCAAACCTCTACTTTGCAAATGGCGTCATGTACAAATATGTACGAAAAAACAAAAATAAAATATGTACAAAAAAACTAAAATAAAATATGTATGCAAACTAAAAAAGAATATGTATGCAAAACTAAAATAAAATATGTATGCAAACTAAAAAAGAATATGTATGCACAACTAAAAAATGTATGTATTCAAAACTAAAAAAATATGTACGACAAACAAACAAAAAATATGTACGAAAAACAAAAAAAAAAGTATCCAAAAAAAATACAAATGTCACTTTTATGCCACAGTTCAAAATACTCTAGTACAGAAATTGTGTATTTCCTAGAAAAAGATGCTGCGAAAAATACCCCGTTCTGTCGGTCATTTACTTGATAACTTTTGGTGCCATATGGAGCCCCATTTTAAATATGTTGGGAATGAAATAAAATGCAGTTAATATTTTCTTTTCGAAAGAACTATAAATATACTCTATTGCAATGTTCTGGTGAAACATCAAGTTTTTCGATCGGACTATAAATAGTGATTTTTACAAAAGCATTATTAAGCTTATCAACAAACTTAAGGGTATTTGTAAGCTCCGTAACAACCGTTCGCCAGAGGCTTTTTTTGGTAAATCTTACATACTTATTTAGAAAGAGCAAGCATGAATTTTATGATGTTAAAATAATGGTATCTGATAAATGTAAGATGCTTGTTACATGAATAAAGTAGCGATAAATGTGAAATTATTTGTCATAAAAGAAGTCAAAACACTGTAGTATTTAACTTCCCTATAAAATACTAATTCACTATAACTGTACTCATCATTGCCAAAAAGCAAGAAATGAAAAAGATGGTTCAGGTAATTGGCCAATGTGTATTTTTTGGATAATATAGAAGAACATCAAAATGAAAAAGCTTTTAAGAAAAACAAATAAAAGCATAATGGGCCTTTAAAACGTTATTTTTAACCCTCGGGGGATCGATACCCCACAATCCCCTCTATACCCCCAGTGAGAATTTTACATAATTCTTAATGTGCGACTACTTAAATAGTTGATATCTTTAGTACTGCCTGTACGGACTACTACTTAAAGCCGCATCTACACCTAGTCAAGTTTCTAATATGTCACATTTAGCTAAATAAATGGCTTTTTCAACATATTATCAGGCACATTTTTTACTGAAATGTCTTACTAAGATTTCCCAAAATTTATACCTTTGTCTATGCTAAGACAATCATATTTCTATAAAATGTGTAAATAAAAATCGGGAAAATAATGCATTTAGCTAAAAACAATGGAGTTAATGAAAGGTGTACATTCTTTTAAAATGAATGGAAAAATTGAGAAAAAATATTTTAAGCTTAATAATATATACAAATTCTTTATTTGGTAATTTATTTGGTAGAAGTTCTTCACTTACTAATCAAGATCATTTAAATCCCTCTTGATTCTAATATAATTCAGGGCACATGTTTGTGTCTATTTAAAACCTTAATTTTTTGTTTACCATTGTCTTTGACTACAATATAGTATTTAATAATGAACATTAATTTTCTATGACCCCAAAGTGCGGTCGTTTGCCTGATGTTAAAAAATGCATATGTACCTGTTTAACGCACTTTGGGGTTAAAATTGGACCCCAAAGTGCGTAACGCACTCTGGGGTCGGACCCCAAAGTACGTTACGCACTTTGGGGTCGGTCCCCAAAGTGCGTTTGACCCCAAAGTGCGGTGTTACACAGCAGCATATACCCTTACAACAATATAAACCGTCTAGATACGTTTACTGTTAAAATAATAATAATAATAATGATTATGATAAAAATGTAGTAGTAATAATAATAATAATAATTATGATGATGATAATGATGATGATGATAATGATGATGATGATGATGGTGATGATGATGATGATGATGATGATGATGATGATGATGATGATAATAATAATAATAATATAATAATAATAATAATAATAATAATAATAATAATAATAATAATAATAATAATAATAATAATAATAATAATAATAATGATAATAATAATAATAAAAATTATAATAATAATAATAATAATAATAATAATAATAATAATAATAATAATAATAATAATAATAATAATAATAATAATAATAATAATAATAATAATAATTATTATTATTATTATTATTATTATTATTATTATAATTTTAATAATAATAATCATTATAATAATAATTATAATTATAAAATTTATAATAATTATAATAATAATAATAATAATAATAATTATTATTATTATTATTATTATATAATTATAATTATTATGATGATGATGATGATGATGATAATAATAATAATAATTATAATAATAATAATAATAATAATAATAAAAATAATAATAATAATAATAATGATAATAATAATAATAATAATTATAATAATTATGATAATAATAATAATAATAATAAAAATGATCTATTTCATTCCACGAATAAATTCGATTCTAGTTCATATAGATAAATCTATGAATGTAGTACAAATTCTTTGGTATCGAATAATTATTTCGATATTCGTTTAATAAAGTCAACTTTCGTTTTAATTC